AACCATCGATGTAATTTTTGCGATCGAAATAACACTAATAACCGGTCAAAAGGAGGCCCACAAATCTGAATGCTGAGCACAGGTTAAGTAACCATTTATTAGTGGTGGTTTGGCAACCCTCAACACGCACGCTTCCAGCACGCGACTCAGCGATCATAAGTGGCCTGTGGCGATTGGTGACGTAACTGCTACTGGGCACCAGAAGAATAAACCTTCACAGGCCAGGGCCTCGTTGATATGGTACGATGTTATAGCATCCATATAACACGTAAACTGTATATATTCCATGGACTTTAAGAGTTCAGCTACTTAAAGAACAAGAAGTAGCAGGTGCCGACTGCAGTAATGCTGTGTCTGCTTGGATTAGTTTTGAAAGTAGAAATGGTAAATCAAGGGATCTTGGAGGTAAAAATGGTAATCAAAATCTTGGAGAAAGGATAAGATAAATTTAAAGAACTCTTAATCCAACATTTTACTGTGCCTTTTGTCTACAGGTTTACGAACTCAGTCCCAGTTTAGAAAAAGCAAATAAAATGCTTTAAAAATAATTGGAAGTGAGAGAAGGACGAAAAAAGAGCAAATTGTGAGGGATAAAAATGAATTTGGTGAAAAGTCAGCGGTTCTAGTTGAAAGCAAAACCTCCTTGAAAAGCTAAACATGTATTCATACAGTAAAATACAAGTTGAAAGACAGTTCATCTATTTAAAAATTACACTGGCGATTTAAAATTGCTCAAATGAAAATCGATATAAAAAGTCGATGCATTGTCAAACAATTGTTGGCATTTTATAATGATGATTTTATAGAAAAGTGTTGAACCACGTGAATATATAGTAAAGAACGATTAACTGAAATATACTTGCCATCTACGAATACTAATCCATACAACTTTAAATGCTCCTGCCTAAAAAACTACCTCTTTTATAGATGGGAATGTTTGGGTAGCCTAGTGGTAATAGTACTAGCCTTTCAAAGCGTTACTGGTTAGATTGCAAGTAAAATCGTTTCCAAACCCAGATGGCATTTGTCGTTAGGATACGAATTAATAATGACGTTAGATAGTTACTAGATCAGGGTTTAGACCGTTCCCTTTCAGTACGTAAAAATTATGGAACTGGCATTAAAAATACTAATAAATAATCAAGAAAAAATCCACATTATTAAACCGTCGATAAGCGAATTTCCATTCGCCAGATTTAGTTTTTTACTTATACAATTTGAATAACATTAGGTTATACATTCAATACCAGAATACTTTACAATAATATTACAACCATACAAGGGTAGGTATTTTAAGCTAAATATGAATGGAGATGAGTGTAGAATGAGTATCACGATCTTATACTGAGGCCGACATGTTCCTACAACCAAGGAACCTACTGTTTATAGTGGTTTAATGAGTACCTAGGTTTTCTGGTACAGAGAGGGTAAGAAAGTGTGTTTTTAGTAGAATATTAACTGCTTATTATTGTAGATATAAAAAAAAACTTGCTAAGTTCGGTGAAAATATATCCATTAACAAGCAAACTACAACGGTTTAGTTAGTTATTCTCTTAAAGAATAATATGGGAATCATAAATTTACAATTTCTAAAATGTTTTTGCAGCCATTACCCGTATAAAAATATTCAATCATACATTTATTTTATTATTATTTATTTATTATTTTAATTTATTTTAAGCTCTTATAAATAGTTTAGAAAATTGGGAAAATTCATTTTTTTGAGGGTAACAAATGAAACAAAACCCAACTTAAAAAAAAACCGTTCACATGGTCTGATCAAGCTGGTTGGCTAACTTATTACAATAAACAGAAACTATACTATCTTGGTAGGTTAACACGTTTGTACCAAATTTCAGCGAAACTTATTTCGTGCTAAAGTGCCGGGACATATATATGCATTTTAACGGATGGTGATTTTGACCTTTAGGTACACCATAACGAAAATGTAAATTGGTCCTGGTCTAGGTGTTACCATGATGCCTACGGTAATAGCTTATTCCCTAAAAATATAATATGGAACTACAGCAACTAAACAAGCAGCAACAATGACCATTAGTGAGTAACCAAAATGTTGGAATACAAATAAAACTAACTTATGTCTGAAATATAAATCCAACATCTGAAGCATTGTCATTATCTCAATTATCTGTGTCAACATACTTGAAATTATTTACAAGTTCACGACCAGCAAACCCACTTTGAGCAAATTTCTTTAAATGATGCCAATGATTAACTAGACAAACGTAATTGGACGATGACAAATCTGCATCACATGCCGAGAAGCAGGTAAAAATGACCTTACATGCAGAAATCTCCGGTAATTGCAAGGAATTGCTGATCGGTGAAACCTCCTGGGAATCAAGCAAGAATTTGTGACATGCAAGTCTGCAGATGTGGAGCATAGTCTTGCAAATATCACAGATCTACATCAGCTTAGTTTGTCAACAAGAGGGGACAATCCAGGAGCAGAATTATCGGTTTCATTTGTCGGGATTTCAAATGAAGCCGTGTGGGGGCTACCGAACTATGTGAATCCATTATGGTAGACCACATAAGTGATGAGTGCCATTCCATTGACTGATGTCGCTGCGGCAAACTTCTGTGGAGCCTGTAACTGATCAGTCTCAGGATCCTAAGTGACCATTTAATGTGCCAATTTGTGTCACTAGTTGTGTTCTTTATTTAATTAATCTGGGTTGCGTTTCCTTTAGTGGAATGGGAAGTTTTTGACATAATTTTGATGGGTATCGCTAATCAGCAATGGGTAAGAGTAATGTTTAATTGGGAAAGATGAAATGCGGCTTATGAAATCCGAAATAAAACTAGTACAGGTGTTCGAATACTAAAATAGCATTGCCTATCTTCATCTATATATACCATATATTAGAGGTATACCCAGGAAAATATGGGGAAGGAGACTCATTCGAGTCTCTGTATGACATGTATTTCAACTTAACATATTTCTACAGGATTTGGAAAGCACCTGCAAGGAAGAAGTTTCCCACCTCCTAGTGGCTAGTGTAGCTCAAACGTTTAGTATTCTGCTATGATCGGAACTGTTGAAGATAAAATCAGAACATCGTTCTCAACTATTAATCCGCAAATTTACCAGCATTAATTTTTCAATAAGCTTGTAAAGCTTAGCAGATAAGGGTTTTTATATTCTTGTTTGGAATTTCGATTTTATCATGTGTTGAATACGGCGTTTATAACATTGAGTTTATCTGATATCTCGCACCTTTCTCGTCTGCTTCTGAGAGGTTATGTCAAAGATATATATCTGAATCTGTCGAAATTTTGAAGCAACTTTGTCAGCAGCGTATTTTGAAGTAACGGGAGCGATGCTATACAATGTAGTTTTTGCATTGGTCTAGTAGTTAGAACGCAACACTTCTGTCCTGGAGTCTCACGTTCAAATCCTTCTATCCACCAATGACTTTTATTTAAGTGGCAATACCGTGATCTGGGATTATGGAGCCTTTTAAGTGGTAGAGGTTTACCTTCTTATGTTAAATCTTGGACAGCTTACTTTTATTTGGCAATCTTTGTAGATTAGCCATGTTCAGCCCTTACAAAAGTATCTATCTATACTTATTTAATACGCAAGCAGGTTTTTTGTGACAATTACTCCTCTGAAACTACTGAACCGATTGACATGTTTTTGGTGTCATTGGAAAGAGCTTAACGTGAAGTTGTGCAGCAAACTTTCTTTTTAGGGAAATAATTAGAGAGTGAGGCCCTGGGGCCCTTTAAAGTTTCGTATTTATCCATAAGATTAACATGGGAAACAAAATTTGTTATGGAACTCCAGCTGTTATCAGAAATTAAAAGTGAAATATTTATTGATGGTATCCATAGTAACAAAGAACAAACCCACAAAAATTAAAATGTAAACAAGCAGAACTAACTGTCAAATTAATTTTGATTTCACAACTCCACACAGCTGGTCCAAATATATTAAATACTGCATGATTATTAGAACAGGAACGGTATGGATCATAAACATAAATAAAATATGTCACTCGCCCGAATGTAAACATTGATTAAATGGAACTATCAAACTATATGTTAATGTCATTAGTATTGGATTCTTTCAGTTACGTCATTTGTTGACCGAGTCTGTCCAATATTTTTGAGCTGCTGTAATAATATTTTACAGGAAATAATTGTTATATAAATTTATGGATATAAGTAATAATTTAGATTCTACAATCATTGCTGTTATTAAAATTGTGTATCCGCAGCAAACCTTCAGACTAAGCGAATTTCCATTTACCTGGCTTAATTTCTACAAAGATATTCCCTGAAAATTGTCATTTTTTCCTATTTAAATAATATTAAGTTGATTTTAATATGAGTACCTAGGTTTGCTGCTACAGGGAAGGTAGGTGTGTTTTTGTTGAAATGTTGATAGCTTAGTATGATAGTTATTGGTTTGCAAATCCTGTAATACTTTACAATTGCTCGAATTCGAGCAACATGAACACTAGTTTTTTTAAATAACTATTGTTGGCTAAATTTAAAGAAATAAAAATGTCAAAGTCACAAATTTATTTTTGGGCTTCATTTCAGTAAAGAGTTTATTTTTATTTTTAGAAAGTATAGCACCCGACGCTAACCTTTTTTAAGTTTGTTTCAATGCCATATAATGTGGTTTGGTAGCTGGCTTGTTTGGTTTAAAAAGAATGAATGAACCACTCTTTGAGTGCTTTATTGTAGAAATTCTCATTTCTCCCCTAGTTGTTGATAGGTTGATAGACCAGCTGTTTAGAGAAGGATCCTTTCTTTAAACTGACATTGAAACTTTTTCTCTTGCCGGATAGCCGAGTTACAGCCTTGTGGTAGGAAAATTATCAACCAATGTCTATAAAGTTTGTTACAATTTCTTAATACTATCCTATTAAACAATTATTTGACTGTTTAAGCACTACCAAAAATTGAACACGTGAAAATAAACTGAAGGTTAAGCACTGAGCAGGCAGCTTCATTATACTTACTGGCTCTCCTCATAATGGTGAGGTAGCAAATATTAAATAACAGGGTCTGATGATCGCTTTTGAGGTTTAATTCGAGTGATCAGTTAGAGCCCTTGTATGAATCAAATAGAATACGCTGTAATTTTAAACACCTAACTAAGGATCAACAGAGATAATGTTAAATCATACATCACTCATCTTACTCCATTCTTAACTAAACTTGCATTCATAATACGCATTATCATTATCATTACAGGAATTCAATCCTGCTTATTTTAACCTGAACATGAGAGTAGAAACCATCGATATTCCTTTTGTAGCCGTTTTACTGAATCAAAATCACACGAGTCATTTTTTTGCCATGGTTGAGGTTTTACTATAATCCCAATGATCAAAGCTAGCTGGGTCTGATTTTAAACCATCGGTTTCGAGCTTTTCTCAGGATCAAAATGGCTTCTTTGATTGCTAGGCGAGTAACCATAACCACTCAGCTACACAACTGTATAAACCTCCTTTCGTGCTTTGGTAGGTTAATCAGTTTTCCTTTAGGATCTAGCCTTTCCTCGATTGAATATAACAATTTGGATCCATATTTCTCTAATGTTTACCCTTGAGATGACATAAGATTAATCTTCGTGGCAGTGACTTATTGAACATCCCATCGCCGACTTGACCTTGAGTAAATAAACTTAGGGTTGATAAATACCTCCACATTTGTCCCGGGCAGGAGCGCATTTCTGTAATGGAGTCGCATCATCAATGAACTTTTGTTGATCTATTAAAAAGACGGCTCAATCACACGCCGTCATGCTGAGACTAGCTATTGGCTCCGTGGGGGTTGACTACTTGTACGTCAAAATCTGTCTTCCACAGGGTTCCTCATCAATTGTTCTGAATCACTTAGTAGCGGTGGAAGAAGGGATTTAGAATACATATACTCGAAATTGGGCGTACTTTCTGAGGTATAGCTATTATAAAGAAGTTGTTTAGGAGTCTAAAGACGGTGACACACTATCGATCTTTTCCCCGAACAAGACCCCGAACCGAGCAGGGAGAAGGGAGAAGGGAGGTCGAAGGGAGGATGTTCGATAGTGTGTCACGGGTCCGTACACCGATCAAGACGCCGAACAAGACATCAGGCCGAGCAGGGAGACGAGCGCTCTGGAGGCGGTTTTTTGGCGAAAGATCAAAGAAAAGATCGGTCCGATGTACGGTCCGATGTACGATAGTGTGTCACGGTACATTTTTGCCCCGTACATCGTCGCGAGCGCCGCACCGAGCGGCCGCCTGCGCTAGCATTGATAGTTCTGATTTATTAAGGCAATTAAACTCTTTAATTGGTAAAATAAATAAATGTTGGGTAATATGTTGCCGTTATATATTATAATCATTTAAGATGTAATGTTTGTGGTTTGTTTGGTCAAGGTTGAAAGTGTAGAAACCGTTAAATCAATTATATCAATAATATTAAGGTTGAATTAAGTAATTGATGTTGACTTAAATTCTTTCAAAAATAATATAAACATTAAATATTATTAAAGGCAATTAAAATTATCATTCTGTAACGTTATTTCAATGAATAAAACCAATAGAAATCAATAGGATATAACCTCTTCCACGGCACTGCCTCCGCGCTCTCACTCGCACACACTCTCTATCTCTCTCCAAACTTCCTTTTGCCGCGCTCGGTAGAATTCGTCTGGTCTTGGTCATGTTCGGGGAAATGTTCGGAGTAAAATTTTGCTGATATTTATCTCCCTTCTCCCTTCTCCCTGCTCGGTTCGGGGTCTTGATCGGGGAAAAGATCGATAGTGTGTCACCGCCTTAAGTCTTCACAGATAAAAATTCATGATGGCCGTTCCAAGTTTCTGGCGGCACTCATAAAAATTGTACTTCGAGGGTATCTCCTCGGCTGGTGCGTCCTAGGACTCTGATTGCACTTGAATAATTGCTAATTGAGTGTGTTGTTTTTGTAAATTCTGTCTATTTAAATATTGTTTTCCAAGGGAAAAACGTTGTGTTGATTGAGATCAAAGAAGGCCCCGCTATAAAAGTCTTTCTATTGCGGCCTTGGATCAAATCAAGTACACCAGTATAATCGACAGCAAAACATTGCAGACTCGAAACACATAACATTACGAATTCTTGATTTTCATACAATACAACAAAGAAAATAATACATTAAAAAGTTATTGTAAGTAATATTTTGTTTTTCCCGAGTTTTACCTAAAATATCTATACTATTATATAAAAATCTAATGGTGTCTGTCTGTATGTGTGTTACTAATAGGTGCAAAAACTACTGAACCAACTGGGCTAAAATTTTACAAAAATATAGTTACCATACCAAGGACCATTATAGGACTATTCACATTTCGATACTGACCGTAGGCTTTGCCCATTTGGCTTTAAAAGTTCTGAGGTGAAGATTTTATAAGTAAATATTGATTGGTCTCCATGGCTGCGATAAGAACACTTATAATGGTTGTTTACATTTGCTTTGACATTTCAATGTAAACCAGAAGAACTGCTAAATTGCATATTTCATAATTTCAAACATCTGATACAAAGAAGTTAAATATAATATTTTCCTTAACTATGAGGTGGGCTTATTTTAATCTAACGTTTTATCATGGATTATTTCTTCTAAAACTGTCAATGATTATAGAAAAAACAGATTCTATAACCGTTGCTGTATCAACTCCGGCTGTGCTTTGGATTTTTTAAAGCGTCTAAGTTATGAAAACAACGTTATTGATATGTTTTCATGGAAACAGTATGAAAATTACAATGTATAGATGTTTTGTATGAATTTGGAGGCTACTTGAAATAAATCCGAACTGCTTTACATGTGTTAGATTGACTTAACATAACTTGCACATCACATTGTTTTTTATATGTATATTTAGGTAAATTTAGTATTTGTGTTTTGCTAAACCTATGCTAAAATTAAACTAAAGAATATCATCAATAACTAAATTGTACGTCATTGATTTTTGTGTTCTAAAATCTGTTGTATATGTGTAACTATATTTAATTATCAAATGGCAATACAAAATACTCTTATTTTATCTTAACATAGCTTTCAGTTCACATTAACTTTATTTGATACATTTATTATTTGTGTTTTCCCACACCACTGATTAAATTAAACCAAGGAAAATATCATAAAACTAAGCAGTACACGGTGTACTTTTGTTTCTAAAATCAATGAAATATCTGTTAGGCCTACTATGTTTACTTAATGGTAAGTGTGAACATTTAAGGCAATGATCGATGGAACTGATTAAAAGAACTGGTTTGTATATTAAGTTGTTTGTTGATATTTTTGTAGAGTAGAATCAGAGATGCAATGATTCATATACTGTATTTGCTATTAGCCTACATTTTTTAGTCCTCGATGCTTTGGTAATCATATTAGTTTTGTCTGCTGTCTTTAATGCTAAATTATTTGTTTGAAATTTTTTTATAGGGTAGATATAGTTTCTTTAATATTTCAAAAGACTGTATTGATAAGGCACAACAATATTTCTAAAGTTTATAACAGCTGACTTAGTTTTGCTAATGATTTATTGTGAGTGAAGAAACTGATGATGGAAGGATTTGTAATTTAATATGAAGAGTGAAATAAAAAAAATCCATTTAAATTTAATAATTAGTATTTTTGCAGCTTCAAAATTGAAATTTAAAATGACAATTATAAATAAAAAGATATGTAATTAAGGGAGATGAAGGTAAATCGTATGTGAAAGTTTTATTCGAAGATTTGGTCAGTTTTTCTCATATCAGCCTACACAAGATTTAAAATTAATCAAAACCAAAATAGTGGTAGCCACTACTTACCAGATTTAAACGTTCGTAACGTTTAAACAGTTTAAACGTTTAAACGTCATAACTTAAACGTTTCTATTAAGGCCATAAAAGTTGAAATTTGTTTTTAAAAGCGTTGGCGGATGTGTAACTATTATATGCAACAGATGTAAAGATTAAAATGTTTCTATTTTGTGTCCTCTTCCCGTTGCAAAGCACGGGTACAACAGCTAGTACTAATTATGATGAATCACAAACGAGCTACAAATCTGAGTTGTAATAATTTATCATCTACGTTCATGTAAACTATTGCTTACTCAGGGTAAATTTGTCGTCAAATAATTAAACTACATTTATTACGTCACAATTATTTTATTGCAGCCATCAAATGCATAGAGTCAACGAAATGGCCAAATCGATTAAGAACCACCGGCGCCAATTAACCTGCTAAATAAACATTTAAAAATCACTTAGTGGGAACAAGGCTTGATAGAGTTGTTTGGAACGATAATAAACAAGTTGGGCATCAAGCAGCGTCTCGGGCCAATTTAGAGGACACATTAACAAAAAAGCTTCTAATTATGTGAGTGTCGGCGCCCACGCTGCAACCGGCGTTTTATAGGTCGGTGTTGTCGTTTATATCGGATCAGAGACGGTCCGCTGTGGGAAGGACTCAGGGTAAGAGTTAATTGAGTAGAAGAGTTATAATTTAACCAGACAATTGAGTGTTTTATAATATTGTAAGACTTAGGAAGTGATTACTCAAATAAAAAAACTAATATTGAAATTGGTCGACAATTAACGAAGTCAGTTTGTGTACCAGTTTCAGCCTTCTATAGACTGGGTGTAGTCAAGTGAAGGCGGAGGACATAATTTAGGAGGTGGTAGAAGCACTCCTCGGGTGATAGATGGAGACTGGGAAGCTGTGTAAGCCTCCGCGACACGAGAGCGAGTCGTTAGGCCTTCGCCCCTCTGGTCTCAGCTATCTTGCTAGGACGTGGAAGTGCGAATTGTATTGGGGAACGGACAACGAGTGTTGTAGAAATCCACTTCTGTTTAGTCTTCTATTGGAAGTTCAATACCCCCTTTTAACGTCTGGACTTGCAAAAAATCAATCCGGTTAAATGATTTATAAATATCTTTTAATAAGCACAATGTTCATATTGTATGGTATTAAATTAAAGAAAGCAGTGCTCTCTTCTTCCCTAAAGGACATGACTTCTG